GTAACCATGGATTATGCTCACTCGTGTGAGCATGCTCATGCAAACAGTGGACTCAAAGTAAACATGCAAATGTCATACAACTGACAAATAGGCTTGGTTGACTCGATTTAAGGAGTTCTATAATTATAAAATTTAAATATAAAGATAATCAAATCAATAAAAATTATAAATAAAAGATAATACATTGAAATTCACAATAAAAATCAAAGAAACTAATTATACATGAGGAATTCAAAAAAAATTGAGAAGGATTTTGAATGAATTCGAAAAGAATTATAAGTTACTAATCACACAAATGACATACAAATGTCAGACTACAAACGGGCAGAACCCCTACCAGCCTTAGGACAATTTGGTGTTCTGGTTGGACATCCGTCTAGCTTTAGGACGAAGCCAGGTAACCATGGGTTATGCTCACTCGCATGAGCATGATCGTGCAAATAGTGGACTCAAATTAAACATGCAAATGTCATACAAATGACAAACATGCTGGGTTGACTCGATTTAAGGAGTTCTACAATTATACAATTTAAATATAAAGATAATTAATCAAATCAATATCAAAAATAAAATATATATCGGACGACAAAATTTAGGAGAAAAATCTGGAGAGTATCGTAACACAAAAGGGATTCAAAAATTTTTTTACAGAATTTTAAATAGACATGAAAGAACTCTAAATGATTAAACGTATGAGTGACTCAAAATGTCAGATGAGAAATAGACAACACTTCGGCAGGATCTAGAACCTACGCTGGTGCTGACAGTTGGCCCATCTGCTCAGCTTTTTAGGAAAAGCTAAGAAAATCATGACTATCGGTGATGATATATTTTTGGAAAATAAATAAACATGCAAAGACCAAGCAAAGCTAAATTGTCTGGATTAACAGGAGTTTAAAGCTATACAAATCAAAATCTCAATGATCAAATTAAGACAAATCGATGAAAATATATTAATTTATAAGCAAGAAATCAGAAGACAAAAATCTGATACAAGAGATTTAAAATCTCTAAAGAAATCTAAAAGACTAAACATGCAAATGGCACTCAAAATGTTAGACAAGAAACGGGGAGCACTTCGGCAGGATCTAAAACCTACGCCGGTGCTGACAGTTGGCCCATCTGCTCAGCTTTTTAAGAAAAGCCGAGGGAACCATGACTATTTGTAATGATTGCTATGAATTTTAAACTAAACAGGAAAATGAAAAACAAGGCTTGATTAACTATATTAGATGAAAATGAATCTATCAAAAACACAAGACAAAAAAAATTAAATCGTAATGGTAAAATCATCTATAAATCAATCGTAAGGACCCATGCCACAAGACTATACAAATCATCAAAGCAGGTAGTAGAAAACAAGTCAAAAATGTAATTTACATGAAAATTTATTAGCCCAAATATTTAATTAAACTTATATACAATTTTAAAAGAATTTAATCTTCATTTAAGATGGAGAGAGAAGTCTATCCGCAACGGAGTCGCCAGAAAAATCTGGGAGAATTTTTTTTAAATGCTTTTTAGTTCTTACATGATTTGCTTTGTTTGTATTTTAATAATTTCTTTCAATTAAATTTGCATAGTCGGACATTATACCACACCGGAGGATAGACTGATGTCCTTTTATTGATTTTAAAGAAAGAAGACTATAATTTATTTCTTCTAATCGGGTGCAGCGTGGGAATAAACAAATCATCCCGAATGATGATAAGCATATTATCCTATCATCTAATTAGATTAATGAAATATAAATTTATTTCCATAATCAAATATAGAAGGTATTTGATCCTCCTAAAAGAGTAAATCAATTACCTACCTATCCTTTTATTATAAAAATAAATTTTAAGGTATAGATAAAGCAAGGTCTACGTTCACAAATCTTTCCCCTACCTTAGAAAGGAAGCTAATATAGGATTTAGATTATTCTGGGATCTAGACTCCCTATAGGGGCAAGTCCCTATAGTTAATTGAATCTCTTAAGAGAATACTCTCGATTTAAAAGAAGACTAAATAATATCAAAATTTATATATAATTTTAACTAAATATTTGGGCTAATTTAAATTTTCATTAGTAGGCTATAGATTATAGACTTTAATACTTGATTTGGAAGTTTCGAGTTGTTTAGATTGAAGGAATGTGCAAAGAGAAGAGTGTATACAATCTGGGCTTCCCACCTTCATAGAGTGGACTGTCAGCTAACAATCCTAATCACAACAATCACCGATGAATGCAAGATTTAAGATAGCTCTATCCTAGGGATCAAGGAGTTTGTTAAAGAATTTTGAAATCATATGCAGATTAAGATATGTTAACAAAAACTGAAAATCTATCAACGAATACTAAGATGTATGAAAATTGCATTATATAAAAAGCTGATTTTATTAATATAGATTACAAGTTGGTTTGCAGTAATGTTAAGGTGGCCAGGCCCACCACAACAAACCAGGGTTCTAAGCCTAAACGAAAGTATGATCAACATAACTTCTTAATGTCTTCAGGCTCCAAGTCTTCTATGGAATTCCCAAAAGGAGCATGCTCCTTATGGAGGATATTATTTTTTGGAGCCCCATTAAGCAGTTATTTTTTATTATTTTACAGACTCAAGACACTGTACAACTTGATCTATATATAAGAACCTAGGAATTCAAAATTACATTTCTTTACAAGTACATCAGTCCTGGGAACATTCTACTTTATAGAAAAAAAAGCAAGGTAAATAAAAGCAGTTATGTAATTAATGAGTGCATTTGAGCAGTTATAGATGCAGGAAAGTAAAGCAGTTTAAATGCAGGAAAATGTTAAAAATTATTTTGATTAAAATAAATAAATATTTTAAATGTTTTAAGTAAATTCTAATCAACTTTAAATTTTAACTTGTCAATACACTTTATTAATTCTAAATATTATAGCAATTTTTAAATTAAATTTTAATAATTTAATTTATATTTATTAAATTTAATATAAGTATTAATTTATTGAGAATTTTATTAATTACATAACATTTATCAATTTAGTATATAATTATTTTAAATATTATTTATATTCAAGGTTAATTAAAAATTAGATTGTTTAAAATAAATAGAATATTTATAATATTCATCATGTTAAAATTTGTTAATATCTTTTATTAATTTTATTAAATATTTAAAGTATAATTAAAATGTTATAAAAACTTTAGATTTAATAAAAAAATAATTAAATAATAAAAATATAAAATTAAATTATTTAAATTCTAATGGATTTTTCTCTCTCCGTTTCTGTCAACCTCTCTCTCTCCCTCTCTATCTGACTCTCTCTCTACCTTTTATCTTTTCTTTGTACTTGATATGACTATACATTTCTCTCTCACAATCTCTCTAAAAGTTAAAATCTAGGTAAAATGTTTTAAAAAGCAATTTTGCATTTTCTTATTTCTACCAAAAACGTGAAGCCCGTTTGCGTGTGTGATTCTTTTTATTTTTTTTTTAATCATGATCCTTTTCCTAATTTAATCGTTATTAATGATCCTTCTTAAAATTTGCCCCATGATATTTCTTACCATGTAACTTACTGTAGGCCAGTTTTAAGTTTTATTACTATTGCACTTATTTGCAAGCTAGAAATTTGAGTCAAAGTGGAGACTGTTGGTTTATTGTACAGATTTACTCATATTTGCAGTTTTTTTTTTTTATGTATGTTAGTTTCTTCGTTTGCTACAGTTCTTATCTTCAATATAACACATTGATTGTTCATTTGCAAGATTTTCATAGTGAAATTTTTTGAAGTCTTTTTGATAATTTGTTGGAGAATATTTATTGGTTAATGATGATCGTAAAATGTTTGTAAAATGATTATAGACCAAAATTATATTATTAAAAATCTATATAATTAGCAGCTGTTTAAAATGCTACTATTTTAGAGCTTTAGTGGTGGTTTTATTTGCTGCTAATATGAAGCATTCATGACGGATGAAATCACTGCTATTGGTTTAGATTTCTGGCTGGTAAAACTGTTGCTAAAACTTCAAGATAGTGATGGCTTAACGTATTGTCAAAACTAGCGCATGCCAACCCATCCCCGACGGTTGCAAAATAGTTGCAAAATGCCTTTGCACCAACTATGGCAGACTTGCGAAGGTTTTGAGACCACTTCAAAAAATTTTTTTTTTGTGGCGGTTTAAACTGCATGAAATCTAATATTAAATGTAGTTGAAGCTTCCTTTTCTTGTAGTGAATTTGCTTTATTAAAGTAAGGAAATACAAAATAAATTAGGAGTGATATAGTTGGAAGAAACCTGTTCAGTGAATCGGAAAATTATTAGAACTGGTGTCCAGATTTGTCCGGACACCAATCCAGACGCGCCATGTCACCTAGATACACCGGGAACCAGTGTATCCAGGTGATGTGGCACGTCTGGATTGGGTGTCCGGACGTCCGGTGACTGGACGTAATAATTCGCCTAGTGAATCACAGGCATCAGCTAAGCCAAAAAATAAAAATAAAAATCCCCTGCTCTCCTCATGTCAGCACATAACAAATTTCTTTACAGTAGATAATTTTTTTAAAAACAATTTATTAAAAAGGAAAAGAGCGTGGCTTGTAAAAATAAATAATTTCACCCCTTTTTATAATTATTATTTTTCTTTTTCTTTACTTTTAATTATTGTTCTAATTATTAAAAAAAAAGAAAACCATATTGGCACTATATTTCTGAATATATACTCCTTATTTGTTCTTATTTTTATATAATTTATTACTTCTTAAATTATCATATTAAATTTTACATAGATAAAAGTCTTCATCATGAATTTGAGTCAAAATTCTCTTAGAGGAACAAAATTTCTTGCTTTCATAGCAGCTAGGTCAAACTTGGCTGCCTCAAAAGTCTATAAAAATAATAAATGTGGAGCAACTAAAAGTCATTAAAATTAAAAATAAAACTCTTATTAAAAGCAAATTTATTTTGACAACTACCGCAAACTTCCCATCGTGTTATACAACACCTCAATTATTTAAAGCTAGATGTAGAAACCTTTTCACTTGAATGAGGAAAAAATAAGGGAAGCTTAGAGCATGCCATCGTCTTTCAAGTTGTTTTTCTTCTTGATTTTCCTCTCTTACATAGAAATAATCTTGAGCCATGGCAGAGGAAGTTGCTCATCATCTTGTGGAAACCTCCAAAACATCAGGTATCCTTTCCACCTTAGAGGTGATCCAACTGAATGTGGTGGTCCTGATTTTGAACTGAATTGTGAAGGAAACAATACAATATTAGAGATCCACCGAAAAAAGTTTTATGTCATAGATATATCATACCGTGATTCTGAAATCATGCTTGTTGATGTTGGTTTGGCAAAGGGAAATTGTGTTAATCTTCCAGAAAGATCAGTTGATCCTGATGATTATCTCGGAGTGTTTCGGTTTGGGCGTGCTTATATAGGTCAGGCCACATTCATTAACTGCTCAGTAAAGATCGATGATCCAAGTTTTAAGATTGTGCCTTGTCTCAGCAAGAATAACTCACAAATTTTTTATGTATTATTTGAAACTTTATCAGTTGGAGACCTCCCAGTAAATTGCCATTTTCTATATACAGTTCCCCTGAATGATAATAGGCTTCATCATAGTATTTTTGATCAACTTAAACTAGGTTTTAGGATAAATTGGAATCCTCTTATCAATTCAACAGCAGACGCCATTCACAATTGTGCAAAAATTATGGGGAAGTAAGTATATAAACTATTCATATAATAAGTTCCTATTATCCATCTTCTAATTTTTATTTCCTAAATGCAGTCTCGTTTTTATTGATGGTCAATCAACTGAATCCTATAAAGAAGAGATGGGCATTACCTTATATGATTTGATATCTCCTTTTCGTTTTGAAATTGATTTCTTGGCATGTCTCCATAAAGAGCAGTACAAGAATTCAATATTAACGTACTATGCAGCAGCAGTAATTTTTTTAGTATTGGACATAACACTCCTAATACTAGGTAGGAACATGCTTTCACTTAAATAGTGGAATTATAGGTACAAGACCAACTGACGACTAAATTACATTCTTGCAGTTTTATTAATAATTGGAAGATTTCTATTTGCACCATTATGTGTCCTTTCATTCCTTGCGTACAACTTATTCAAGCTTTCGGTACCTGTTGATATTATTGAGAGGTTCCTACAAAATCAAAAAGCTCTCTCACCATCAAGATATTCATACAATGATATCATAACAATTACAAGCAACTTTAAAGAGAAGTTAGGACAAGGAGGCTTTGGGTCCGTCTATAAAGGAAGGCTCCCTGGTGGTTATTTGGTTGCTGTGAAGATGTTGGGAAAATCCATGGGTGATGGAGAGGATTTTATTAATGAAGTATCTACAATCGGTAGGATTCATCATGTAAATGTAGTGCAACTTGTTGGATTTTGTGCTGAAGGCTCTTATAGAGCTCTAGTTTATGAGTACATGGCTAATGGGTCTCTTGATAAATACATTTTTTCTTCAAACAAGAAAAATAGAATCCTTAATATGGACAAGCTTCTTGAGATTGCCCTGTCTGTGGCCAAGGGACTTCATTACTTACACCAGGGGTGTAATATGGGGATTCTTCATTTTGACATCAAACCTCATAATATCCTTCTTGATCATAAATTCACACCAAAGATCTCTGATTTTGGCTTAGCAAAGTTGCACCCTAAGGACCATAGTCTGGTCTTCATGAGTGCTGCTAGAGGAACAATTGGATATATTGCACCAGAATTAATATCAAGAAGTTTTGGGACTATTTCTCATAAATCAGATGTATATAGCTTTGGCATGCTTCTAATGGACATGGCTGGTGGGCGTAGGCATAATGACCTGAAAGCAGAAAATTCTAGTCAAGTTTACTATCCTTCATGGATTTATGATAAGCTACAAAAGACGGAGTTGTCTGAGAACTTTGAAATTTTTGAGATTGATGATTTAGAGATGAAGCTATGCAAGGTGGGGTTGTGTTGCATTCAGACAAGACCTGTAGATCGCCCTTCCATGATCAATGTTGTGGAGATGCTGGAAGCTGATGTGAATTCCTTACAAATGCCACCAAAGCCTTTCTTTTCTTCTTCACATTCAATGTCTCAAAGAAACATTTGTATGGATTACTCTGTACATGAGCTTCCAATAATTTTAGAGAACTTGTAAGCCATGCAAAAGATATAACACTAATAGAAAAATTCATTTAATGCATAATTTTGTAAAGGTTATTACATTTAGAATTACCATTTAGGCTACGTCTACTTAATTTGAAGGAATAGAAATGGTTAAAATGAAAATGAAATGGATTCATAAATCTAAAGAGATTAAATTGAATTCATGTCCACCGATTTACTTTGTAGAATCGAAATTCTGTGAAAAATAGTTTTTTTTTTTTCCTTCTTTCATTAATTGATTGCGGAGAGATTGAGATTTTCTTTCGTTAGGACTAGTAATGTTTAAGTCTCAATGATGACTCTATAAAAGTTTATTTTAATTTTTTTTTTCATTAGAATAGAGTATGAAATTATGAATGAAAAATATATCTGTTCCCATTAGGATTATGAAGATAAATATGTTTTCATTCCCTCTAATTTCTTTCTACATAAATGATTTATACAATAGTCACTTTCTCACCTTGACATAAAAATTTAAAAGTTTTGAGCATCCAAACAAAGGCCCTGCAGGCAAATTATTGCGTCTGGTGTACGGATTTGACCGAACACCAATCCAGAAGCGCCACATCAGCAAAATATACTGGGCCCCGATGTATTTGAGTGATATGACGCATTCGGATTGGTTGTCCGAATGTCAGGTGACCGGATGCAATAATTCCCCCTGCTTGCATCCCAAGGAATTTACAAAGTTTTTGATGTAAGTTATAAAGAGCCACACAAAAGATCTACATTCAATATTTTGTTGTAAACAAATCAAACTACTTAAAAAAATACTCAAACTAGCTTTTGTTAAATACATGAAAATCCTCCTAACTAGCGGGCCGACTTGGAGAACAGATGAGCAGAACCTGGAATGGGGAGTAGAGAGTAAAGAGTATAGTTTAGGGAAATGCTCATAAAGAATTAGAGATCTTAAACTAAGAGAGTTTCTGAGCATGCGAAACTCGGTGATCTAATGTTGGTCAGAAGTTACGGGTGTTCTATTATGAGCCTTGGGTCCCCATGAGAGAACATGTGAGTGAGTTGAGACAGTCGAGGGAACCGGCTATGCTTCAGTAGATATGACAAGGATGAGGGCTCTAAGTAATCTCTTTCATGTAATCAAGTTTGGATGGATGGATAGTCGCTATAGGAGAAAACATGTGACAGACAGTGTAGTCCAAGTAGGTGGCGAGTGCGTAGTTGTTGATTTGATGAGGGAATTTAAGGTTGCCCAGTATAGGGAAGATCTTCAGTATGCTCAAGCGAGAGATACCTATTGATCTTGTTGGGGTGAGTACTCTTACTTTGACTTCCGGGTGAGAACCACTTCCCTTAGATTACTTAAGGAGTCTGGTGGGCATCCTTGAAAGGTGAGTTCCTCTATTGTGACCACCGCTAAGTACTTGAGAAAGCATATGCGAGTATACAACTTCCACAATTTAGTAGGTGTTTTCATTTTTTTTTTCAAATGAAAACTGCCCTGTTTATACCTATAAATACTATCACTATCCCATATAATATTCAATAATAATTAAAATAATATTTATTATATACCAAATATATTTTATTTTTTCTTAAAATATAGATTAAATAAAAATTAAAAAAAAAACTTACAAAAATAATCGAAAATAATTCCATACAACCTCTTAACTAATCATATTAGAGTTACGTAAAGATCTATGAAGGAATGATTGAAGAAAGAAGGTTTCAAAGTTAGATTTTTCTAAAATGGTACATCATAAAAAAAATATCTTGATCAGGCACGAATCTCGATGCAAAATCAAGTTGGAAACTTCCGGAATTAAAATTGGGACCATTTGAACTCCAATTTCAGCAAACTTACAGTCAAACTGAACGTCTCAAAAATACAAACCCAACGACACCAAATTCAACTCAATCCGAACCCAAATGAGTCCAAATCAAGGACCCGAAGTGTTGTTGGAAGGTTCAAGCTACAATTTGGATTAACAAACGGTTTCCAAACATTACATGCTTATATTCAAATTCAGCGGCTCAATGAGACGAATCCAACGAGCCTAAGATTGTCGAATTCTAATATCATTAAAACCTTCAAATGTCCATCAAATGGCCCACGATTAAGGGGTTCAACATCGGCCGTCCATTCGACCACTCCCCATTTGCCCTTGATCCTTCTCCTATTTAGAGGCCATGCCATCCAAAAATCTATAAATAGATCCCTCATTCCTCTTGAAAAGGAGAGAGCACCAAGCAGGAGAGAAAGAGAGAGATCGGAGATAGCTCTTGCCTCCTTGCTCCTCCTCGACCACCGCCTGACGTCGTTGCTCAGCCGGACCACCACTTACCACCGCCCTGAGCTCTGCCGGATTACCACTTGAGGCCCTCACCTCCACCGGACCACCGTTTGATGTCATTGCTCCGCCGGACAACCGTCTGATGTCGTTGCTCCATCGGACCACCACTTGAGGCCCTGAGTTCAGCCGAATCACCACTTGAAGCCCTCACCTCTGCCGGACCATCGCCCGAAATTGTTGCTCCATCGAACGACCACTTAAGGCCATAAGCACCGCTGGACCACCACTTGATGCCCTCACCTATGCCGAACCACCGCTTGACGTGGTTGCTCCGCTGGACCACCACTTGAGGCCCTGAGTTTGGTTGGATCACCACTTGAGGCCATGAGCTCCACTGGACCACCACTTGAGGCCCTCACCTCCTCCAGACCACCGCTTGACATCGTTGCTCCGCTGGACCACCACTTAAGGCCCTAAGTTCCTCCGGACCACCACTAGAGGCCCCGAGCTCTGTCAGACCACCACTTGAGGCCCTGAGCTCCACCAGACCACCACTTGAGGCCCTGAGCTCTACCAAAGCCGGACCACCGCCTGATGTCGTTGCTCCGCCGAGCCATCACATGAGGCCCAAAGTTCTGCCGGACCACCAATTAGTTAAATTTGACGAGGACCACAACCTTACCATCATATTATACAACCATTCAATCATTTAAAGAGATGCAAGTCTCCACAATTGTATGAGGGAAGACTAAGAGAAACCAATAACATGCCACTGCCATTCAAATTGTGTATATGTTTGAGTTTCCTCTCTTACATGGGAGTAACCATAAGCCATGGCAAAGAAAGTTGCTCATCGTATTGCGGAAGCTGCCTCCACAATGTTAGGTATTCTTTCCACTTGAGAGGTGATCCAGTTGAAAGTGGTCATTCAGATTTTGAACTCAATTGTGAAGACAACAATACAATATTAGAGATCCAACGAAGCAAATATTATATCAAAGATATATCATACTGTGATTCTAAAATCATGCTTGTTGATGTTAGTTTAGCACATGACAACTGCAATCTTTCAAGTAAATCAATATATCCATGTGATTATAATGAATTTTTTTTTGAGTGGTGGAATTATCATGGTCAGACCTATTTATTAAGTGTTCAGTAAAGATCAATAGTCCAATTTATGAAATTGTGCCATGTCTCAGCAAGAACAACTCAACCATCTATGGGATATTTGATGCATTATCAATTAGATTCTTCCTAGTAATATTTCATTATTTGTACGTAGTTCCTGTGATTAAAAATGTTCAACTTAGTATTTTGATCTACTCAAGTTAGGTTTTAGGCTGAATTGCCATCGTCCGATCATTTCAACAATAGGTGCCATTCCCTATTGTACCCAACACGCTAGGCTGTAAATATACAGAATATGCTCATGCAACTTTATATTATCTATCTTCTAATATATTTCCTCAATGCAATATAGATTTTATTAGAAACAACAATACCATATATGTTATGATACTATTCTTTTTCAAAATAGTTTCTTGGCATGTATCTATAAAGAGTAGTACAATAATTCAAAATTAACCTTCTATGCACTAGCCAACATATTTCTAGTATTGGCAGAGATGAAATTTACAAGTATGCGCCGAAAGAGGGGGGGGGGGGGGGGGGGAGGTGTGAATTGAAAATTTGTTGCAAAAAAGAGACATTCCTAAATAGGAGTTATATTTTTTGTGTTTTTAAAATTTAATAAAAAATTTAATTAATACATAAGCGAATGCTTAAAGCACAATTTGCAACAACAAATTTCACCATGCTTTTCACCAAGCAATTTTAACGAAATAAAATGTAGAAAGTAAATAAAAAGCAGTAAAGGAAAAATCACACCAGAGATTTTATAGTGGTTCAATCACTTGACCTACGTTCACTCCCCGAAGTCCTCCACTCCGGGAATTTCACTACTAAACAGAAATTCTCCTTTTGCCCCCCACAGCAAGGCAGAGAAGCTAGCCCTTACAAAGCTCCTTTTCACCAAACCGATGTGGTGGATTTCCAAGCGCTTTGTCACTCTCCTGGTGACGGTAGCGTACCTTCTCATTTTTCTCCCTTATAGAGAAGGCAGGGTACCTTAGAGGACACAGATGTAGACGAAACTCCCCCTCAGAGACCCTCTCACAATATCTTCTCAGGCCACAGGAGGACCAAAGTGCGTCAAGCTTAGAGCAACTGTGTAATCTCCCTCACACTTCTTCTCCCTCACAAAGCCCACCTTCTCCTTCGTCTCATAAACCCTAAAATCTTCTCAAGAGCTCTCTCCTAAGGAATCTCTCTCTAATCACGTTCCTCTCTCACAATCATTCTTTGAAAAATAGAAGTTTTGATGCTTAAAACAAGCTCCAAGAAACCCTAAAAATTTTAATTTAGCTGTTATGATCATACAGTACGATCAGTACAAGATAGCCTTTATCATGGTATGAAGGTTTACGAACAGGCAAAAATTTTTGAACACGTACAATACGATATGTTAAACCCTTATGTTCGTACAGGATGATTGCTGGGATGACGAAACACGACTTTGTACGTCGTATGGTATAAATCACCTCGTATAGTATGATTAGTTCAAAATCAAGGGATTGTCCGGTACGATGTCCGGGATGACCGTAAATAGCCTCAGTTGATCCTACAATACGAACGGTATCGTATAATATGATAACCAATTAGAAATTAATTCTTGATTTATGCACTAATCTTGGGGTTAATTTAAGTATTAAAAAA